AACTTAAAAAAAAGCCTTTGTGTAGTAACAGTCAACATTAAAAAAAAAGTTGTTTTAAAACTGTATTTATTTATAGAAAACTACTAGTTATGTCTATGATCTGCTCAAGATGGCAAGAAACTTATGGGAATTAAAAGACTTACTGTTTCACGACACTGAAATTATTATTTTATCACTTCGCAAGTGAGTTTGAAATACTGTGTAACAAACATAAAAATTACGTCTATGGTAAAAAGTTAGAGGCTTGTTTATGGTTAATGATTCAATAAACAGGAATGTAAATATCATAACATGGGATCGGCGTTCTAGAGTACGTGGAATGAAAACAAATGTAGTACTTAGTCGATATATAAATATATTATTCCATTAGGTGTGACTTCAAGTACAGCTTACAGCTACACATACTTCATGACCTAGGATGACGTATGCCAACAAAACTGGACCCTGTCGAAAACGTGTATGGGTTTTTAAAAATAGAATACTGCTTTATTTATAAAAACTCTTTGATCTACATACGCAAAGAGAGTCCTGCACGGTACAGGATCGTTCAGCGATGGCGTCGTTCCAAAATTGTGTAGGTTCTGAAAACGAATGTAGCATGAAGCTGGAATTCTGAGCTCATTTGGCAGTGTTGCCCGAATGAGACACTGTTTTGTACAACGTTTTCTTTGTCTCAGCTGCCGCGGTATCAAGCTAATAAAACTATTTTGGATATCAAGACCCTGTCCATTTTATCTGCTGTATTGTATTAACTAATAGCACTACAGGTAGTTTAATACACGTTTAAATAAATGGCAACTCTTGCAACACAATATTAATGCTCATTATTGATGATTTTACGTGAATGCACGTATGGCGTAGTGGTTTAAGCGGTCACCTCGCCGCTTCCTATTGCGCTGAGTTTGTGGGTTTCGTCCCCACATGGGACAACACTGATCCACAACATGGTGGTTTTGAGTCTGAGTGTTCTTTATGTCCGTTTGAAGGAATGCTTGTAAAGACCCGTGTGACACAGAATATATTCCTAGAGCAGGAATTGTATTTTTTTTTTAAATTAGCAGATTTAATCAGATTTTGCACTTGTAACTTAAAATAAGTTAAAGAATTTTGTATTTAAAACCTTATATTTGCTCGTTTATAACTAACTTATAACGTACTTTTAGTCCTAATTTTCAAATTGTATCAATAAAGCTTGTTTTTAGTTGTACTAAACTAAAATTATTGTAGTAAATAGTGTACTGCGCCTTGGTACACTTATGTATAAGCTTATTTAGATTGGTTTAGCAACTTATAAAAAGCAATAAATAACATAACAGTACTCCTAGTTTTCACTAAACTGACCACAGACTGCTAAATAAATATCGAATTTTTCCTTTATGATTTTATTAAACAGTTCAACTTACGCAGAGAATTATAGGTCAAGGGTTATAATATTGTCCGTGTAGTGACGGATTAAGAATACGGAATGTCACTACCCCAATTCATCCCGTGGGTGTCGTAAGAGCCGACTAAGGGCGCAAAACAACGCAGGACACCAGCACTGCAAAAAGAAGGAAAACTTGACACAAACCCTATACCAACCCGTCTGGTCAGCGTGGTATAGTAAGCCAAAACCTTATTTCTAAGGAGAGGCCTATGTCCAGCAGTGGACTATTAAAGGCTGTTGATGTGATGTATGAGGCATAATGAGGCATCTGAAGATTTAAATGTGTTAATGAGTGAATGAAAGAACGAATGAAGGGAGTTTAATGTTCTAAATAGTTTCACAATCGCGTAACGCTTATTCCTCTAACGTGTATGTTATTGAAGATTCTCACGTTCTCTTATTGATTTTACAAACATTTTACGAAACGCCGCGTGCAAACCTTTATTTGACTACTTTACGGCTATTTGTTAAATATGAGTAAATAATTAAATATCTCACAACTTGCTTCTGCTGGCGGTTTTATTTGTACTGCAGTTTTTGAAAAAATGGTTTGAAACCCTAATGTAACAGTATGAGTAATTTCTTTGTGTGGAATTTTTGGTTCAGAAAAAGGTCTGTCTAAATCAAGCTGGTACACCCAAGATTGGTGCGTTCAAACATATAGACTGACTAGCTGAGACCCGCGGTGTTACCCGCGTTTGTTGTTATAACCGCGGGCAACGCCGCGGGGCGAAGCTAGTCTAAAAAAAGTAGCCTAAGTTACTCCTTATGTCATCAGCTATCTGCCAGTGAAAGTCCCATCGAAATCGGTCCAGCCGTTCTAGAGATTACCCGGAACAAACAGACAGACAGACAGACACAGGCATATGTGCCGTGTAAACATACATATGCATTTAGTAAAAAGCGGTTATTTTAATATTACAAACAGACACTCCAATTTTATTTATTTGTATAGATATAGATAACCTCCAACGCAACTATTTATGTTGACCTTGTAGGACTTTAGTAAAATAAGTACATGTGTGTATATTAAACATTGTACATGTTGTACTATAGAAATCGACACGTAAAGTTAAAATCAAACTTATACGCCTTAGATTCATATTTATTACTCACTTTATCCGTGTGGTGACGGATTAAGAATACAGAGTGTCACCACCCCTATTCATCCCGTGGGTGTCGTAAGAGCCGACTAAGGGAAAAAACTACGCAGAACAACAGCACTGCAGAGAGAAGGAAAACTTGACACAAACCCTATACCAACCCGTCTGGCCAGCGTGGTATAGTAGGCCAAAACCTCCTTTCTAAGGAGAGGCTTATGTCCGGCAGTGGAGTATTAAAGGCTGTTGATGATGATGATGACTCACTTTTTGACGACCGAATGGCGTAGTGGTTTGTGTAACGGACTGCTATTCCAAAGGTCGCGGGTTCGATTCCCGCTCAAGTCAAGCATTTGTGTGGAAGAACATTTAATGTTTGATTTGGTCTGGGTGTTTCTATGTATAATATGTATGTATTTACAAAAAAAAAAAAGTATATATGTATTTATATCAGTTGTCTAGTACCCATAGTACAAGCTCTGCTTAGTTTGGGACTAGATGGCGTTGTGTGAATGTAGTAGAATATCATTATTATTATTACTTTAGCTAAAGACTCCGCCCGCGTGTATCTCGGTTATCGCGGTAAATATATCCTTCCTCAAGAATCAAAGTATCCTCCATGCGAAATTTAATTAAAATCTACTTGCTGCTCCACCACTGTACGCTCCTCAAGACACCAGTCTGTGGAGCAAGTTGTCGTCTGCGGTATTTCCAGACCGATACGACCTTCAAGAAAGGCGCGCAGTCCTAAAAGGCCGGCAACGGGTTTGTGACTCCTTAAGTTGCAGGCGTTCATGGTTCCGGGGTGGCGGCGAGCGCGTTGCGAAGCGCGCTCGCTTCCAGGGAGCACAGGGAACATGGGGTTCCCACACGGGGCGGGGGTCGTCTACTCGTCTGTAGATGACCCGAGGTATGTCGGGGCACCAGGGCCTTCCTTTCTAGGGTATACCTGGTTCCCCGGCTATTAGTACCCGGCGAAGGCGTGCGGTTTTAGTCGGTTCGAGTCCGACATGCCACCGACAGGTGGTATCCGAGGGGATTTCCGCACGGAAAAAAAAAAAAAAAAAAAAAAAAAAGGCGTTCATGGTTGGCGGTAATCAATTTCCATCAGGTGACCCATCTGCAAAAAATGAACTGTCTGCTCGTCCTCTTCATAAAAAAAATCGATTTAGGTGTTTAGCCGTGAAAGCGTAACAGACGACAGAGTTACTTTCGCATTTATAATATTAGTAGGGACATGCATTAGAACCGCCTTTGATTGACACAGAAGAACGCTTACCTCTTGGTAAAAGACCGCGTTTAAGTCCAAAACCAATGCACCATTCCCAAGTACAGATGCAAATAAAACCGTATTAAAAAAATAGTCACCTTAATAACGTATAATCAGTATACGCCATTGGTGGGCCACCATCCATCATAATTCATCATGTAGTTAATTAATCGTGATTACCAGTTGCTTCTTAATTAGAAATATACGGGTGGGCTCGGCAAATAATGGACTTCTATGATAAAACCATTGGAATCAATTGGAAAGTTTGATTAATTTAAACTGTCTTATCGTAACATGACGAAGGGTTTTAGAGTAATAAATATTGTTCGTCTTAACGCCCTCTTTTTAGGCCATTTGGATAACTAGCGGTAAATTTATCTCCGTATAACGAAATGCGATTAAGATCCAAAGAAATCTAAAGATTTGTACGCCTTTTTAAACAAAAATGGCGCACATTGAATGGAAGCATATCGTATTATTATTATTTAATTTTTATCCGTGTGGTGACGGATTAAGAATACGGAGTGTCACCACCACTAATCATCCCGTGGGTGTCGTAAGAGCCGACTAAGGGAGAAAACTACGCAGGACAACAAACTAGGTGGTATAGTAGGCCAAAACCTCCTTTCTAAGGAGAGGTCTATGTCCAACAGTGGGCTATTAAAGGCTGTTGAAGATTATGATGATGATGATGAATATTTATATCAAAAAAAATAAAGTTTCAAACAATATGTGTTTAAGTATTGTATAAACTACTACACAATATTATAGAGGTCTAATATATATTTTGATCTGTCGCAGTATAAAAATGTGTATATCGACATTTCAAGTTATACTGGCTTGTAAAATAAGACGACCGCCAGGAGACCTACGAAATTTGACAAAGTGGTTGTGTTACCAATAAATCGAATACAAACATGCGATGTTTCCTAATCCCCATTCCCATGTGCTATTGGTAGGAAGAGAGAAAAAAACTTCTACACTCTTACTCAGATAATAAATGAAAAGCGAGAGTTGAGTGGCATATTGCCACCGACTGTGCTAGACAGAGTCGATGGTAATGGGATTGATTGTACAATAGCTACAGGTCGAACATTCAGATTGTAAAAATATTTAGATATCTGCCTTTGGGGATTTTTGTAAGTTTCAATCTTCTGTGTCCAAATATTGCAATTATCATTTTGTTGTTTGTTCTGTTCCACAGACGCTACGGTGTGGTAGATAAGCGGTTCTGCGTGGAAGGTGGCTCTAGGTGCGGTAAGGGAGAAGGGCTGTTCATCTTCGCGGCCGAGGGCGGCAGGGAACTTACAGAACTCCTCAATGTTTACAGTCATGAAGCACAGTCCAGGCTTAGCATAGCTTCCAGATGTGGTTCAGGTGAGGGAAATTCTTAATAAAAGTGTTTCAATCTGTTTGAGTAGTATGTAGTAGTAATTAAACCATGAGAAAGAGAGTCAGGATATGCAATGAGAATGCAACAGGAAGGAACCGTATTACACAATAGGGCTACTGATTTTTATGTATACTCATCCCATTCATCTTATCCATCCTCAGTTCTGGAGAAACGCTTCTCAGACGCGAGTTCCTGCATGGATGAATGTTTCCACCCATCTCTGCGTTCCGTGTCTCCATCCTGGGCTGGACCGGCGAGTCAAACGATGCACTGCCTGTCAGACCTCGACGCTAGTATGGACAGCAACGACGACAAATTCAGGAGGCCGACGTCCTTGCCAAGATGCGCCAGTTGTACTGGGAAGATGAGTCAGTTGACGAGGTAAGTAATGGAGCATAAATAATTGTATCTATAGCTAGGCTGTCAAGTTAGTGTAGGTAGAACTTATGTTCATTGACGGTCAGCTGGTAGAGAGTACGAACACAGTACTGATTAAGGACATCAGAGAGTCAAATTACTCATAACGCCTCGTTTATGGAGTTATCTTAGAATTCTAATCTGTTTGACATTGTAGCGATTCGAGCGACAGCCTCTCTGTCATCATCAACAGCCTTTAACAGTCAACTGCTGGACATAGGCCACTCTTTAGAAAGGAGGTTTTGGCCTACTATACCACGCTGGCCAGACGGGTTGGTAAAGAGTTTGTGTCAAGTTTTCCTTCTCTTTGCAGTGCTGTTGTCCTGCGTAGTTTGTGTAGTTTTACATCCTCTGTCGCTCAGCTTAAATTGGTAATTCATGTCGTATCATCACGTATGAATGAAAACTAAATCACCTAAGAATGTTGCATAATATTTTTGAAGGAATATACCCAAACTAAACCAAACGTGCAGCCTCAAACTGTTCTGGAGTGAGACCCATATTTAATAGCGGGTCAGCTTTTAAGCAGAGGTGATAGTTTTTTTTTTTAAAAGACAGCTCCCGCATTAGGAATATATATCCAGTGTCGCGGGGGACTTTACAAACATACATGAAACGGACACAAAGAACACCCAGACCCAGAACAACAATTTGTGGATCACACAAAGTGTCGTCCCATGTGGGGTTTGAACCCATAACACTCGGCGTAGTAGGAAGTGGCGTGGCGACCGCTTAAACCACTCCGCCATCCGTGCAGTCGATAGTGTTCAAAATAAAACGATTGCAATATTCTGCACTGTAGTTTAAAAATTAAATTATGCTCAAAATTAAACATAGTATTCCAAATTTTCAGGTCTTCAACGATGGGTACACCTGGCTCATTAATGTCTCCAGTATGGACTATGGACAACATAATAGAGAAGCGTTCAGATTCTGACCGCGTGTCCATCTACTCTCGATCAAGCGGAAGTGCCTCAGAGTACAGTGTGCCACGCAGCTCATGCCTTCTTGACAAGAGTTTTGAATCGTCGAAACGAGGGAGCCCCGTGGCTTGCTGTACACCAACAGTGCCTGCTAAAACCGGTAGTAATTGCCAGTGTTGGCAACAGAAGCCATGCTGTTGCAGGAAAAAGTCTTTCAGTGGTCCGTATGAGAATTATGATGTCCCGAAGACACCTATGCCTTTAATACAGGTAAGAGTTGTATTTAACTGGAATTTAGATCCAATCAAATTATATGATACTGCATTTTAAAATATATAACAACTTCAACTATTGTTTACAGGAACATCCAGTCGATTCACACACAGACCCATCAAGTATATACGACACACCAAAGAAACTAAAATGTCTGATAAATGGTCAACCATGTTCTTGCACACATAACACTGAAAGCAACAGCAACGATACCCAACAGGCAGACAATAACAATCAAAGTGATACTAGCATTAATAATAACGAAGAACAATCAAACTACGTAAACGTAACGCCAATAACCAAAAAACCAATTCCAGAAATTGACTTTGGCAACTATGCTAATATAGACCTTACAACTCTGGAGAATTTTGAGAACTCCTTACAAATTTTAAGAAGTGCCGGCTTCAGTCAAGAAGAACTAGACGCCTTAGAAGACATTCCTGAACATGAAGATGATATTTCCACAGCCACCACGAACACTGTTCATCCATCTACAGAATGTTGTAACGAACATTTGAACTATATGCACATGGAACCGTTAGAAATTAGCATTTCAAGTAATAGTAACAAAAACTATTCAGATAATGTGAGCAGAATAAGTCATGTATCAGATCCGACTCAACACTCAGAGTCTGATACAATTAGCACGCGAAGATCGAGCTCCGCCGACTTCACTAAAAGACACGATGACGAATATGGAATACACAGTCAAATATGTTTCACACCTACTGTCTTAAGAAAGGCAATTAAAAGCGATAGAATTAACGAAGGTATGCAGATAAGCCTTGAAATCATCGAACCCAAAGACAAATTTAAGATTCCTGAATCAAAAACTGAAAATATGCTTGTCACGAAATTCAGAGATGCTGTCAAAATAAGGCGTTCCTCAAGCGTTCCAAGTAAATCGGAAAAGAATAGAGATTCGTCCAGTTCGAACGATTCTGGCGTTTCGACGGGATCTCTGAAGCATCACAAGGGCGATTTTAATGAATTCGAAATGCCTATAACGAGTTCAAAGTCAACGAAGAAGCATATAAAGAACAGTAAGCAGATGAGAATGTGTCTGACGCCGGTGCACGCGTTCGTCAAGTCAAATTCATCAGATCCCTTGAAGAACTTGACATTTCAGTTTGAGGAAGTGGCCACTTTAACGAAAGCAAACTCCTGCGATGTTGATACATTAACGAGACGGAAGAAGAAACCTGGTAAGTCTTAGCTGTTAGTCCTGTGAAGTTTAATCGAAAACAAAACAAATTGAAACTAACTTAGCTGATTTTGTTCAGTAGCCGTTCTCTTCGCTATTTTATCTGTGTTTATGAAAAGGTACCATTCTTTTCCGAAGCATCATAGACAGATAACATAGACAGTCAAATGACAATTAACGTTACTTCACATGTAGCCAATGATGTGCTTTACCAATCCCATTTTATAATTGTAAAATGTTATTTATTATGATCTTACACACTTTTAAATTAATTATGTTCAATAAATTTTTTTTGCTGTTAAGCCAACGGCATATATATTTTTTTGATGTAGTCAAATTTAAATATGCAATACAATTATGATTAAAGTAACGTTTGGTCTCTGTGTAGTGATGGAGCAGGACACGATGGCCCGCCACAGCCAGCTGACGTCGAGCGGCGCGTCCGACACGTCGGACTACATGGAGTCGCTGTCGGTGTCGTCGTTCAGCAGCTCGTGCGACGCGTCGGCCGAGCGCCACGCGGCGCGGCCGCGCTCGGGCCGCGAGTACGCCAGCATCGACCGCGCCGCGCTCGCCGCGCACCCCTAGCGCACCTGCCGTCTTGTCATCACTCACACACAACCCAAATGACGTCATTCACAAACAACCCTAAAGACATCTCTCACACACAACCCAAATGATGTTCTTCACACACAACCTAACGTCATTCACACATATTCATAATGGCGTCACACACTATCAAATAAATATTAACAAAAAAGTTAATAATATATTAATCTTCTATTGAAGAATCTTGCCTGGAAATTATACATTAAACTATCTCTGTTAAGACAATAACGGCGGTGAATAATTTAATTAAAATAAACGTTATTATTATTGGTAAAAATCATTTAGCGTTTGCTTTTTAAAAAACTTATTTTTTTTATCAATAATAGTATCTTTATACACACCTAATTAGTATTCAATTTTAAAAACTCAACCTAAAAACAACTAAAGTAGAGTTTCAAAAAAAGAAACAACAAACAGTATTCCGTTATGACGCAAGTTGTCACAAAAGATTGATGACTTTGCCAAACATTCACTCAAATTATTAGTTTGTACAAGGCGCTGACCGTCGCCATATTTTCATGGAAAAATATCCCCTAAACTCAAGGTCGAGCATTCTACATTTGCTTCTTTATTCAAAGGATGATTAGCAGACTACACGTTCTATATTTAAATAATTCAAACTGTCACTATGGTTTTATTGTTTTTTTACACTAGATGTAACACTAGGCATGCAACTACATCTGATTTTTTTTAAATATATTTGAACTACGAGTAAGTACTTACGTCGTACTAATTGTTTGAAACCATTGAAAATGAGACTTGTAAATAATCTGTACATACAAAGTACATACGTACATACATTCGTTCCTATGTACATAGTTTTTAAGATAATGGAAGATAGCGCAGTTATCGACGAAGTTAGTTATTTAGTAGCGTGCCAAAAATAAAGTAGCTGGCTAAAAATGGGTTTGGGTATTGTAATATATAAAAATTAAATGTACTTCATTTAAACTTCATTGTGTTTCAAATCAAATAAAATGTACTTTACTTAATTAATCTTGTGTTTGATGTTAAATGTAATCGTGTATATTTTTTAAATGTTAGTTTTATAGTTTTTAGACTTCATTTAATGTGTCAGGTACTACAATTATGTGTGCCTTTACTTATACATGTGTTGATAAAAGTATTTGTCTTTGAAATAATTTGTTAGTTTATAAATAACTTACCTTAACTGAAAAATAACTTTAATATAACTATATAATATACCTACTTATTATGTAGATTTATAAATGCGTCATAAAATGTTAAAATATATATTATATTATACATTATATGTGTATATAATCTCCTATTCGCGGTCCCTAAGTAGGGACATTATTAAAACATTAGAATTTGTAAAAATAAATAATGAAAGTAGTCCGGCCAAAGTATTGTCGATGGTTTGTTTTAAATTTGTCATTTATTTTCGAGCAATGTCTTAAATACTTCTTCGGTTACTTGAAACTTACCAATAGGCAACGAATTTTATTTTCGGAACGCATCTTACAAATGGAAAACTTAAAAAATTATAAAACAAAGACATTTTTTTTTAAGTTTTTAAATTTATATATTTTAAAATTATTTTTGAGTTTTTTAGTTACATGGCGTGTACTATATTAGTTTTTAATGATTTATTTAGATTTCATCAGTTAATGGAAGTTGCAACTCGTAATGCTTCGTCTAGTCAACGGAAAAAAGGTGACCCCGTTTATTTAAAAACAAAAATAGCATGCACAACTTTTTTTACATGTTTTTGAATTCTTATTGAAACATACATACTTTAAAAAGAATTGTGTTCATGTTAATTCAGTATGATTCAGTATAATACTGACAGATAAGTATAAAATAAATAGTGTACCGACATTATTGCAGGCAATTCTGAATAAAAGGTCTTTTAAATGGAAATCGTGACGGTCTCGACATTTTGAGCTATTTTTTACACAGAAATGATTGTTATGTATACAATATACATATAGTTACGTTTACATACCACATAAATACCATACTTAAGTTTGTGTAAAAAAACTATTTTCTTAACGATTTTTATGTTGCAAATTGTATTATGTAAGGTATATTACATAGCAACTGAACATATGAAATATAGTGCATTTTGAATGAATTTGTTTTCTTTTTATTTTTTCCCTGTAATGAGAATAGAGAGTGATACTGTCGAAGGTTCCACACTTAAAAAAAAACCTGCTGTCAGAAGTGACAGCGGCAGTTATGATAGCAGCAATCCGTACTTTATGGTTGGTTTAGTTGTATATGCTCAAAATACATTATTGCCTATATTATAATGCGAAAATTGAAAATTGAATACTGTTTAAAGAAGGTGTTACTAATGTATGGGCAAAAAACTGCCACAAATTCACTATTTTACGCAAATTTTCTTTTGTCAAAAACACATTAGTCAAAACAAATTATTTCAATTTCAATTTTTGTTATTGTTAAAGAAATATTTATTTGGTCATGTTTCATTTTACCAAGTATTATTGAGTCAAATCTTTGATCATTAGTATTGTTAGTATTATTTAGTCAAGTCAAATTGAATTTCCATATGAGCCCAAATTCACAGCATTAAAACACTGAGGATAAAATCTTGGAACAGGTCGTTTCGCTGGCTCCGTTCACTCGTGTTGGGGTTGCAGTTCTAACCTAACCTACTTTTCTAGCAGCAGTTCACTCAATACACAATAAACATTTGACTTAATAAAACTTGAAAAATGATGCTAAATGATAATGTGACCGAGTGAATAAAATGCAAAATTGCTGAAGATTTATTCGGGAAATGAAACTGTGGGGCGATGAAGCTATAGGGCGATGAATTTTTGGGAAGTGTAAGTCGACGAAAAATATTTGACCATAGGGCTGTACAGCCTTCAAAAATAGCTAACACGTAAGGCATCCATCTTTGCCCTAAAGCTATATATACACACTAGTTCAAAATGTAAGCTCCATTACAAAACTAAAAACAAAATGGCCGAAATTGAAACACCATTTTAGTGAACACTTATTATTACACTTATTTTTCCTTTTTTTTACACATCTCCCACACGGCTGTCTGATCCCAAATTGGCAGAGCCAGTACTATGGTAACTAGACTGCTAATAAACATACTTATATATTTCTAAATACATACATATTGTAGATAAATTACACCCAGACACAGGACAAATGATCGTGCTTATCACACAATGATTTGTTCTGGGTGGAAACCGAACCCACGACCTCCGATTTAGCAGTCAGGGTCACTAACCACTAGGCCAGGCCATTTAGGCCATGTGTCGTTTAAAGTATATTTTTTTATGTAACAGGGGGCAAACGAGCAGACGGGTCACCTGAACGAAAGTGACTACCGCCGCCCATGAGCGTCTGCAACTCAGGAGTTACAAGCGCGTAGCCGGCCTTTTAGGAAGGAGTACGCTCGTTTTTTGAAGGTTTGAATTTCGTATCGGTCGGTACTTTAAAGTGGAAGGAGAAACACAACTAACCAGTCTAACTTTCAAGAAAATTGCTCAAGTTACAATTAAAAACCAACTATATTATATGCTCAAAAATGATACAACATTTAGCTTACAATATAAAAATATTAAGACACCAGTGGTGACGGATTGTCACCACTCCTATTCATCCCGTGGGTGTCGTAAGAGCCGACTAAGGGAGCAAACTACGCAGGACAACAACACTGCAAGAGAAGGAAAACTTGACACAAACCCTATACCAACCCGTCTGGCCAGCGTGTTATAATAGGCCAAAACCTCCTTTCTAAGGAGAGGCCTGCGTCCAGCAGTGGACTATTAAAGGCTGTTGATGATGATGATCGAGACACCAGACCTTTGATAATAATTCTCGCAACACAACGTGTTCCCGCACATTTCGTTTTTGGGCCCATATCTTGATAGCTTTGTTCAGCTTATGTTAAAGTACGTGTAATAATATATTAACGCAAATGATGATTATGGAGTTTTATGGGTAAACGCTCACTACATGAACTCCGGAGCGCCTCGCCCGAACCTGACCACGCGCGAAGAAGATGCATCGGTGGCACACCGCTCCCCTCGAACGTCTCTGTCGTATCGTTGTCTGGTTAACAACGCAGCGTCCACCCGTGCACCACACATCGACAACTAGTGGACACCGAGTGACGTGGTGGTGCTGGTGTGGTGTCGGGTGGGTGGAATGAGCTATGACCTAAACTCGTACCCTTACCTTATATACTGGATATCTGTAAATTTTTATATATGGTTTTACATAATTTTAAAGGAAAAGCTGAACAACTTTTTTGGCTCACGTACTTAGATTAGACAAAATCTTAAAGGCGATGATTACTACACAAGGTCTCACACCACGTAAGGAATTTTGCCTTCTCTAAATTACTTTCTTTAATCTTGAACACACATTTTTATCAATTTATCGACATCCACAAAGCAATTCCTTCCATCCCCGGCGATACGCATTAGCGATATTAAGTGATTAGTGAAAGCAATTGAACTGTGTAAACGCAATACCAACCCCTAAGCCAACGACCCTACGGATTTAATCTGGACCCAAAAATGTTCGGACAAAACAAGGACTGTTCTCGGACACACGGATATGCCGAATGACAAACTTGGTCATTTCTAACAATGTTTTCTCGCTTTTAGTGCTATATTAAGTACATTTATTTTAAAGAACATGAAATACAACGGGCGAAGTACTTTCACGCTAATAAATTGAGTCATTACCGGCCGTCATTATTAGATGATAAAAATAATATCATGGAACACGCAGAATTAAACAAAGATTGTGTGACACTGGTGCTAATTCTGCTGTTCGAAAACTCTCTAAACTAAAAATTACAAAAAAAAAAAATTAGTCCTATCAAAAAGCGTTTCGGATTCTGGAAACGTAATACTTGACTGCATTAAACTAATTTTTAGCGATTTTTAGTTTAGAGAGTTTTCGAACAACAGAAATAGCAGCAGTGAGTTTTAGAACCCAGACTAATCTACACACAAATACAAACATACAGATACAATTCTTCAAATACATAAATATATACTTAGAAACATCTAGAAGGCCAATTGCAGGGATGGCGTAGTGGTTTAAGCAGTCGCCACACTGCTTCCTACTACGCTGAGTGTTGTGCGATCGATCCCCACATGGGACGACACTGTGTCATCCACAAATTGTCGCTCCGAGTCTGGGTGTTCTATGCGTCCGTTTTATGTATGTTTGTAAAGTCCCCCGGAAAACACAGGATATATCCTTAGTGCAGGCGATGTCTTTTAAAAAAAAATTAATAAAGAAATTCGTATTGTGTAAATTTATAGTGTCACTGAAGATACATATGTACACCAAATTAAGCTCAATCGGACATCGGGCAGTGGTTTTAATTTAGTTGCCTAGATTAGTGCAGAACACACATACATACAAACATTGCAAGTTAAATATAAGCTTGTAAAAATCTTATAAGTTAGGAAGTTTTGTAATGGTATCTTATTCAACAGGCTTCTCTCTTTAAAGATAATATTTATTTTATGTTTCTTTTAAAAAAGACAACGCCCGCACTAGGAATGAATCCTGTGACCGTTTCATGTACGAGTATGTTTGTAAAGTCCCCACTTTACAAACATACTCGTACATGAAACGGACACAAAGTACACCCAGTCTCAGAACAACAATTTGTGGATCACACAAAGTGTCGTTCCATGTGGGGTTTGAACCCACAACACTCGATGCAGTAGGAAGCGGCGTGGCGACCGCTTAAACCACTACGCCATCCGTACAGTTAATTTACGACTGTAATACTTACAGTAATACCCAAAGTTGCTCGTTTTAATCTATCCGTGTGTATCACATAAGCGCATTGAGATAAGAAGACCCTTTGCCAAGAGCTTTAAGGGCTAAGCAAAACATTACTGGCCTTGCGTAACTGCTGCGTAACACACGAGATCTGAGACAAAGTTATCAGATGTTTGATTTTGGCACAGATGTGGTTTAAAAGGGTTTGTTTTAAACTATTGTTATTTTTAAATAGTTTCGTAAAATTACTACTAAGTATAGTCTGTTATGAGTACTGGGACATCTACAAAATGGGCCTTCTCTTGTATTGGGTTAAGAATGAAAATGAGTACATTTAGACGATCAACACGTTTTTAATTAGATGGCGTAATGGTTTAAGCGGTCGCCACCGCGCCGCTTACTACGACGCTGAGTGTTGTGGGTTCGAACCCCACATGGGACGACACTTTGTGTGATCCACAAATGGTTGTTCTGAGTCTGGGTGTTCTTTGTGTCCGTTTTATGTATGTTTGTAAAGTCCCCCGCCACACAGGATATATTCCTAGTGCGGAAGTTGTCTTTTTTTAAACAAATAAAAAACAAAACAAATAATGCACGAGGATATGACAGCCATACTGCCCGCATCCCGTAATTTACACTTAATTTCCTACTCTATTATTGTAAACACAAATGTATTTGTCTGTTTGTTGCTCAGCAGATGTTATATTTTGCATAAACGTTGTCAGAGATACGAAAAAGGGAATGATAGTAGGTATTCATCTATTCGGTCATGCGAAGCATCATTGCGAACAAAAAACAAATTAAATATAAAATTGCATAAAATAGTATTTTTAGTGACATCACCAAAATCTGAAAACACTACCTATAACATTAAACGTAACATTAGTAAACCGTAAAATATGAGGAAAATGTGAAGGTTTGTAGCAAATATGTAACATTGAGATGGTTATGATAAAATCTTCGCGGAACGAGTGCGCCATTTGCATATTGTGTAGCGGTGTTATGGCCGCCATTCCTCATTATTGTATTATTAATACTAGCTGAGACCCGCGGTGTTACCCGCGTTTGTTGTTATAACCGCGGGCAACGCCGCGGGGCGAAGCTAGTCTAAAAAAGTTGCCTAAGTTACTCCTTATGTCATCAGCTACCTGCCAGTGAAAGTCCCGTCGAAATCGGTCCAGCCATTCCAGAGATTACCCGGAACAAACAGACAGACAGACAGACAAAAATTGTAAAAAAATGTTATTTTGGCATATATACCATGTAAACATACATATGCATTTAGTAAAAAGCGGTTATTTTAATATTACAAACAGACACTTCAATTTTATTTATTTGTATAGATTATAAGGACATCAGTCATGACATTTTGTGACGTAAATGTTAACGTCATCGCCAACCTGGTAAGGATGACGTAAGTACATTTTTTTTAATTGTACGGGCCTCGGGCATATGTCATATAAAGGTTTTATAAAAGAAAATGATTCAAAAGTTACAAATTTAATCGATTTCAAAAAAAGGAGGCTGTATGTTTGTTATACGTTGATTCCGTTATTTATGAACCGATTTTGACAATAGGATAGGTAGGTATACTTCCCTTGGCGTCCCATTCAAATTAAATAAAATAGCCCTAAAGAATAAATAGTTAAGGAATGAAGAGTATATCATAATTTGGGGCATTGAGAACTCGTCACATCAACAGCCTTTCATAGTCCACTGTTGGACATAATCCTCTCCTTAGAAAGGAGCTTTTGGCCTGCTAAGTATATCACGCTGAAAAGACGGGTTGGGGTTGTGTCAAGTTTTGCTAGTATTTGCAGTGCTGTTGTCCTGCGTAGTTTACTCCCTTAGTCGAGATAGATGTCTTTCTAGATGTCTTTATAAGTATATTATAATATATATATAAGAATATAATACACATTTAAACAATAAGAGCGTCATCATCATCACCATCATCAACAGCCTTTACTAGTCCACTGCTGGACATAGGCAACAAAAGATATACATAGCATACCACAACAAAATAAAGTTGACACATTTATATACTCTGATGATTCTAAGACACAGGACTGCTTTCTTTTCTATTATTGCTAAGTATATAGGTTCGAGTTAACTTTTAGTTTATACAAATTGTAAATATTGCAGCATATACTGTTAAACAATAAAAGTAATAAGCAACAAATACAAATTTAATTTTCACTAAGTCATAAAGACCGTGATATTCATAAACGTCTCTTTTCTGTGTTTACGATGTCAGTGAACATATAATGATCCAAATCTCTATACTTATATATATATTTATTATCTGTACTTTAATTTAACCAATGACATTTTAGAAATATAAATTTTATTATGAATGAGGCGATGTCAACGAACTTGGTGTTAGCGTGCTAACATTCTTTGTCAGAGTTGTGAAAAGCGTGAAGATTATAGATAGATCGTTACCATGATTAAATAGTACTTGATCATTCATTTTGCACGTCTATGAGAGTCATTTTTATATGGTTTATAAGTTAATAAGTAGGTACATAAATGATAATAAAACGGGACTACAAATAATATGTTATAAACATACAATACAACCTTGAAGTCTGCGATCTTTTTAACCAAACTTTTGAAGATAAATAGTAGTCAATGGCTATGATTCGTGTCCTGCAAAATTAATCATGAGATTTGGTAATTCTTTCAGTTGATACAGAAGTTCAACGTTCTGTTAAAAAAAAGGTGAAAAAGTTCCATCTTCATAATAAGAACTACCACAAAATCGCTCTTCTGTGATTTACAGTAACTTTTCTCGTACGTACTCTTGGAAGTTCCCTGATATTATATTTGTCTAGCACCTACTAATCTAGACGAAAACAGTTAAGCGCTGAGAGCGCCACCACTTGCAATGGTTCTGCAATGTTTGCAATAATTTATGATTCTCAACTCTGGCAACACCAAGCGCCGTTTGAACATATTCTCAAATAGGTATAACCTAAAGCATTTCTACCCTAGTCGGATACCGCTATGATATATTTCGTTTTACTCCTATAATATAGTAATAATCCATGTCTTCTACACACTTACAATTCTCCCAAAAAATCAGGCAAACATTACAAATGTAAAGTAAACGGTTACTGCCAAATATGAGTCTCGAACCCACATATCTCTTCATGGTGCGATAATTATCGACTGCGCTATGGCAGCACACATTTCGCCCTCGATATTTAGCCTTGCATTGATTCATAGCTCTAAGTACAAGACGTCATGTGCAGGAGTGGTCCGCACATAATATAATGTGTAGTCGCGATCAGAGTGCAGTAGTTGGCTTGCTCAGTGTGATCGCGGATATTGGACGTGATGGAGCCTCGTGTGATTGCCGGTCTGTTCGTCTTACTGTATCTGTGCTGTCCAGTTTATGGTACGTACTTTTTTTCTCAAATAAAAAAAAACAAACAGGAACATAAAGTATTCTGTGTCAATGTACATGTGAAACATTCCTGTTCTGATAATTAAATTTTAATTATCTAATGAAAAAAATACTGTTTACAGATTTCTTATATTGTTAATAGATGTTTGTATATAAAGGCTTGTTGTGTTTTTTTTTTGTTAATTTACGTTGTTACTGAATAATACATGTAATGATTACATTTGAAAGACTAAGTTATCGGAAACATCTTTATTTACTGCAAGAGCACTTTAATTCGATGGCAAATATTTCAATTTTCCGCTTTACCCTTTTCTTATATCCTTCAAAATCTTATAATTACGAACAATTAAGATAAATGCTTACAAACATTTAAGAATTATCAATTGAAGAGTTCCACAAGACATCGAACATCATAACATTTTACTAAATATAACAAACTATTTTTTGTTAAATAATAATATGATTTTGAAAGGCTTCAAAAAGCTACTGAACTCGACGGCATATTTTTTTTTAAATTCAGTGCGAAAGTTTTGTTTTCGTGTGGAGATGTCGCAGACATCTCGGATATTACTAGTAATGACAGCGATACTACTATTTTTTTTAAGTGAATTAGTTTGGAGTTTTGAGAATTAGTTTTGAGTTAGTGAGTTTTTGTTAGTTTATATAATACTCCGCGCTTTTTGGATTCAAACAAAGCAGAACTTCTCCTAGTTATATATTTCATTGCCATGTAACCTAAAACCTGTCTCGATTTAAACCTGAGTTGCCTTCTCATTAGCTTTTAATACTTTATTGCTCTTAAAGACAAAAAGCCCGACGAGATGAATATTTGATTTTAACTTGATTGTCACTCCTTTTATTTTTTATTAACTTTTTCCATTTTTTTTTATGAAGTTACCCACGAGGTTTCTTGGAAGACGAAAAACTCTTCGGATGAAAAGCTAAGCTGCCAAAATTGTTGTATTACATAAAACACAAGAAAAATTATATACTTTGAAGCATTGAACAACCTTGGGTAGAGCTCAATGCTTTTGTTTTGTAGAAAATAAATAGGGAATCCATAGTAGAGAATTAAAAAATACCACATAGAACTACTACATACTTTGGGTTCTTTAGACAGGGCAGTTCATGTCCTGTACGCCAAGTTATGTAAAGAGTAGCTGCATATCTTTGAGAGCTCTTTCGCCTATTCTTAAAAATATCCTGCATTTTTTACAAATCTGTGCAATGGTTATTTACATATATTTAAAGCTAGCTGGTACCCGCGATTTCTTTCGCGTGGATTTTGAAAAACGCTGCCTGAGTGGGTCGATTACCGGACCAGGCAAAATTTTAAAGGGTTTTCTGAGAGGAAAAATAGCCTAAGTTACTCGTTATATGGACAGCTACCTGGTAGTAAAATATTATCAAAATCGGTCTAGCCGTTTAGAATATTAGCCGGAACAAACCGACAGACAGATAGACAAAAAATATTGAAACTGGTTTTTAGGCATAGGTATCGTGCGAATAACCGTGTGAGCATAAAAAAAAACCTAATATTTTGACATTACAAACAATCACTTCAATTTTATTTAGATAGATGTATAGCTATGCCCTGCCCAGCTTCTGCTATGGACTTAGTTGCCGACGCCGATAACTAAGGAATAAAACTGACGCAGAAAATAGAAAAGACAATCTTTGAAACGAGTTGTGTAGTATCAAAATTTGAACTTCATCGGTGCAGCACTTTTTGAGTTTTTGAAGCGTACACAAACCAACATAACATTATATTTAGAAATATAGATATCTTACAATTACTTCACGCCTAGGATTAACATATAGGATATTATTAAATGCAATTCTTAACAAATAAATATATGTTTCATCAACATCATCAATAGCCTATAACAGTCCACTGCTGGACATAGACCTCTCCTTAGAAAGGAGGTTTTGGCCTACTATACCACGCTGGCCAGACGGGTTGGTATAGGGTTTGTGTCAAGATTTCCTACTCTTTGCAGTGCTGTTGTTCTGCTTATTTTGCTCCCTTAGTCGTCTCTTACGACACCCAAAGGATGAATAGGGGTGGTGACATTACGTATTCTTAATCCGTCACCACACGGATAAATATATGTTTATCTAATATTTATTATAGCATGCCGCTCCTTTAGATCTTATATCTCATGACGTAATCCAACCGTACCAGTGTTACCAATGTTATGGATTTCCCCTGGATTTTACCAAAACTTTCAATCTACTTGAGATAAACATTCAGCCTTCAAGCTCTGGAATTTAAAGCAAACAACAATTGTAGCGTTTTGGAACGCATCTATCCAAAAAGTTACCATAGATAAGATAGACTTAGGTTTTTGTATTGTCTATGATCCTGTGTAGTCAACTTTCTCTTTCGCTAAAAGTAATGGCTGCAAATGCGTTGCTGTGCTTATTAAAACTTATAGTTAAGAATTAAAGGTATTTTATTTCCTATTATAATCTCCACAATAACATACATCGTGAGGTGGGAAATTCCCCAAATGTACCGCCATATTGTTGGTTTTTTTTCTCTCTTTTCCTGACGTATTTAGTAATGTCAAGGTTTGACACTTGCTCTGTGTTCTGGGATTTATTGCACTTACAAGTGCGGAGGTATTTAAACGTAAATAGTCGTCAAAATGAGATAATATCTCCGTTTATTACGGTTTTATTTCTTTAATGTTATCAACTTGACCTGAACATTTCCACATATCTATAAATCATCACAATTGTCTGTATGCTATGTGTCTATCAAGCTTTTATTCTATTTTTGTTAATAAGAGTTAAATAATCGACGGGCCTGTTGGTCTAGTGGTTAGTGACCCTGACTGCAAAGCCGGAGGTTGTGGGTTCGATTCCCACCCGGGACATATCGTTTTGTAATGAGCATGATCATTTGTTCTATTGTATGGGTGTAATATATCTATACAAATAAATAAAATTGAAGTGTCTGTTTGTAATGTCAAAAATAATAGGTTTTTTCATGCTCACATGGTTATTTGCAGGTATCGTACCTATGCCTAAAAACCAGTCTAAATATATTTTTTCTGTCTGTCTGTCTGTTTGTTCCGGGTAATCTTATTCTGCCACCTCTAACATAAAAAAAATGAAAACGGCTGGACCGATAGTGATAATATCTTACTGCCAGGTAGCTGTATATATAAGGAGTAACTTAAACTATTTTACCTCTCAGAACACCCCTATAAAATTTTGCCCGACCCGCGAATCGAACCCGTACTACACTACTAAGGCAGCGCTTCTCAAACTCCACGCGAAGTCACGGGTACCAGTTAGTCTATATTATGTATGTTTTTAGAAAAATATAATTATGTTTATCAGCAGTCTGGTTACCATAGTACAGGCTCTGCCTAGTTTGGGATCAGACTGCCATGTGTGAGATGTGTGAAGTAATTATTATTAATCACTGTTCAAACATAGCTATAGGTAGCTGGAACTGGTTCAACGTTAATAACTGAATTTTAAACAAGAAAAAACTAAATGTATTAGATTTTTTACACCTAATGTTAAGGAGATAACAATCAGGATTCTGATAAATGAAAAACAGTTGGCTCTTTTCGACACCACTAAGTTTTTGCGTACAAAACTAGACTCCAAATTGCAGTGGGGCCACACGTTGATGGATTGTCGAATGAACTCATCTTTGCAGCATACACGGTTTATAAAATTCGTCAATTAACCCATGTAGAAATAGCAAGACTATAGTATAGTGTATTTTAGCCATTTTCATAGTGTAATGTCATACGGTATTTTGTTGTGGGGAAATACTGCTGACATTCAGAGTATCTTTGTGTCGCTAAGGAGAGCTATTCGCGCAATTTATAATCTCAGTTATAGGCAGTCTCTGATAGATAAGTTTAAGAAATTGGTGTTATGACAGTTGCATCTCAATTCTTTCTTTTCATTTTTAGTTCTATTTCTGTTATTTTAAAGTTATGTAATTATGTGTTAAATTAGTTTAATATTAGTTGTAGCCTCACAATCGCATTGGGTTTCCTGTAAGGATTGTGTAGGATGTGTTTGTGATAAATAAATAAACAAATAAATATATATATATATATGAAAATTTAGTGTATGTTAAGAAAAATATTAATTTATTTACAAAGTTTAGCGACATTTATAATATAAACACTAGAAATAAAGATAAACTCGTGTTGCCAACAACTCATCATCAACGACAACAACAACATCATTAGCAAATAAAGTCACATGCTACTTTTTACCGCGATACCCGACATCCACGCAGGCGGAGTCGCGTTGAAAAGCTAGTAAATACTTTATATTTTTAAATACATACACATTATAGATAAATTACACCCAGACTCAGAACAAATATTTTGTTCCTCATTTTTTTTTTGTCTGATGACCAAAACGAATAGCGCGATTGAATTTGGATAAAAGATCATGCAAGTCACAGACGGGAAACGAGTCTGAGACTTCAGTAGCTCGTAGGGTCCGGATGTCTTAATAACAGCAGTTCCCGGAACCCTCCTATTACAGGCGCAGAGTGGCACACATCATCATCATTATCAACACCCTTTAATAGTCCACTGTCGGACATAGGCCTCGCATTGGAAAGGAGGTTTTGGGCTGCTATACCACGCTGGCCAGACGAGTTGGTATAGGGTTTGCTCGGGGTGCTGGGCTAGAAAACCTCCTCGTGGTGCACCCTGGAAACGCTGGCGATGGTACTGTTCCCTCCTTGTCCTCTTGGAGGAGAGGATTATCGCCAGCGGCCAATATTCTAGCAGAAGAGGCAGCCGTTCATCGGCTCTCGGGCAAGGCCTGGTCCAGCAGGGTGGGCGTGTCTGCCGGTTGCCCTGCTGGCTCTTCGCTCTTCGGAGCATGGAGGAGGAAACCTCGGTAAAAAACCTGATGGCGGGGCCCTGTAGGGGCCACAGTTTCTCCGCTGACAGCGGTGGAGAAAGGAGGACGGGCTCGGCGTGTACTCACACTACCAC